AGCTTGTAACTCTCTCACTTTCATTTCAACAGCAGCAAACAATGTTCAATGTTTAAAATAAACTCTTCCAGATGAGCCAGAGATAAACTCCGAGGTGGGTGGACTGGAGCTCTCTAGGCTGCAGCTCTGAAGTGTTTGATTACATTAGCTCAAACCCCTGGGTAGGACCCGCTTCTGTCAACAGAATGCTTCGCCTCCAACACCTACTACATGAAGCCATTTCCTGTGCTTTCATGGGTTGGTGGCAGAAACTAGCTTTGCTTTTTGCACAGACTAATAATGATTATTTATTTCTCCGTGCTCAGCATTTCCTCAAACAGTGTGTACAACTTTAAGATATACCCGAAAGGCCAATGCTGTATGTAGGTCTGCACAGATTAAAACCTTTTGAATGTATTGGCAACTCAAACTTCTATTGACGCTTTCACCCTCCTGCGCACTTTACTGTTCTCATGGTAACAAGAAAGGTACCATTATTTAGTACTATTCTGCTAATAACTAGATGCCTATTTAGATCTTTTGGGTAGAAAGTAAGAGAGGGAAGGAAGGAAGGAAGGAGGGAAGGAAGGGAGGGAGGGAGGGAGGGAGGGAGGAAGGAAGGGAGGAAGGAAGGAAAAGTACAAGTATTTTGTTAAGTCAGAATTTATAAAAGAAGTTAGAAACATTTGGTTGTTTTTAGTAAACTTTAAAAGCTGTAACTTAAGACCAACCAGGCTATACTACATCATATGTTATATGGCAACTTTTAAAGATAAAATGACACACTGAAAAATAATTCTATTAAATATTAAGGAACTTATTTATTTAACACAATTAGTAAATGCTTTAAATGAGGGAGAGAAACAAACACAGGTTGATGACGAAAATAAATTTTAGGACACTCAGGATATCAACAAATACCCCATGAAGTATATTGGGACATTTTAAAAAATTAAACATCCCAGATTTAGATTAGAAGTCTTCGGGAAAATACGATTCGCAACACAGAACAGTGATTGCCGGTTCCTCCGGACTGAAGCCTTTATGGTGTGTCAGTAAAAGCTCTATTGTATGCAATAGAAGCTCTCTGATTTGGAATCAGCTGGTTACATGGGGGAAAAAAAAACTGATTTAAGAAGAATTTCATAAAGAGTAGTAATTGAACTTAATTATTAATTAAACTTAAAACATATGAGGTGTTCATTCATCTGCCTATCTTCTGACATAAGGTTAAAGGCTTGTCTATTGTTTTTCTGAGTGTGGGTTCACTTGGAATTTCATCTCCTTATATTGTGCTCACTTAGTCTATGGCTTCCAGCCTTTGTGCCTTTAAAATGGAGTCAAAGTTTAAAGTCATTTGCAAAGCACTAAATATAGACCCGTTTAGATGTCTATAATATTTATTTTAGTTGTTTTGAAACATTATTCAACAGTTTCTAGTGATTTGCCTTCATTCACTTTTTCACAAAACATTCAGCTTAGTTTTCATACAAATTCTTTTTGTACTCATAATTTATTAGTTTGCATTACGATTAACAAGTTCCATTCTAAATTATAACTAGCACAGCTAACACACACAGGATTGGCTAGGTTTTCTCTGTTGCCGCCTATGAGCCCAGAGGCTAGGCCAGTGATGGCGAACCTTTTGAGCTCGGCGTGTCAGCATTTTGAAAAACCCTAACTTAACTCTGGTGCCGTGTCACGTATAGAAATTTTTTTATATTTGCAACCATAGTAAAACAAAGACTTATATTTTTGATATTTATTTTATATATTTAAATGCCATTTAACATAGAAATATCAATCAAAAAAATGAGTTCGTGTGTCACCTCTGACACGTGTGTCATAGGTTCGCCATCACTGGGCTAGGCTAATGACTGGACATTTGATTGCATTTGTGAAATGACAAATGAATGGTACACAACTCACTCTTCCCATGTATGTGACAGAACAGGTAGGCAAGAGGGGACACTCTCAGCCTAGAGCATTCTCATGCTACGGGCCTCAGTCAGTATATTTTAGGGGGGAAAAGGAGAATCATTTATTACAGCAACTGCTTCGATTAAATATCTAACTGAGCAGCAAATTTTCCTTAAGATGGGCATAAACTGAGCTCTCCATCTAACTTTCCTCTAAGAATAAACTACCTTCTTCCATGCTAACCTGTGACTAATTTAACTCTACATTGTCCAGAGGAGGTTCATGAAACATCTGAAGCTGTCTGGCGGGGCCAAGCTCCTGAAGGGGGATTAGTGACATGTTCTCTCTTCAGTGTTGCTTAGGACATTTGGAATCAATTAAATATTCAAATATAGATTCTCTCAGATCTCTAGCCAGGCCCAGCAAGTTTGGGAGGGGAGGAAGTTCAAGGCAGATAACTGCTACTCCTCACACCAAAATCTATAGCTGACGATTTAAAAAATATACTCTCTAGACTTCCTGGGTCTGCAAGCAAATAGACAAGATTAGAAATGAGGAGGAGAAACAGCAGGAGCCTTGTTAAGAAATAGGAGGTACAATATACATGAGAACGGCTGCCATAAACCGTGTCTCAAACACAAATAATTGAGCACTTTGGGATGGTGCATAAGTATAACAGTACGTATGGCCTTTGTGCACTAAGAATGATTTTTCATTGGTAAAGGATTATAAAACAATATGTAAAACAGACTGTATATGGCCTAATAACTTTAAATATTTACACTCTGGCTTTTTGTAAAATTTGCTGGCTCCTTGGTTTAGTTTTCTTTCCATCATTTGTACTAATATAAAATTGACTCGCTCTTCCAATTAAATGCTGTTTAGAACCTCACTATATAAAAGTTACTCTGACCTCACCCCTTTTCAGAACAAGCTGTTTGAAACAGAAATCAATTATTTCACAAGATGAAGCCAATAGCCAACATGAAGCCCAGTGATGGCGAACCTATGACACACGTGTCAGAGGTGACACACGAACTCATTGAGTTTCCAACTCAATTATTCCAGGATCTGGCACATTACACATTTGTCTCCCACAATATTTTGCTGAGGTCAGAGGAGGTATCAGAATTGCCCTTTACTTGTTTCTGTGCTGTGTGAAATGGTTAGAAGTCAGTGAGCAGAGGGAGAAAGAAGAGAGCAGCAAAAAAGGTTTAAATAATCTTTAAAATCTAAGTAGTCATACTGTAGCTATTAGTCCCCGATTCCATCAAACACCGGGTGGGAAGGACATCTTCCAAATGGCAGCTCATTTTCCCTTAATAGTTGGTGTTTCCAGATGAGTTCCTAGTTTTCCATCATGATAAATTAATATATCCTATTTTATTATGGTGCCACAAACAAGAACTCTGAAAGGCTCAACTCTTACAAAAGGCCTAAATCCCCTGAAAAGCATCAGGTATCAAAATGCAGCCAGAAAAGATGGTATTAAAAGAAAAAAATATGGGCTCCTTTTTAATGAAGTCGAGGTGTAGGACAGATTTATTAGCTTCCATTTTTCCAAGTTGCATTCTGGTGTATTTCCTGCCCATACTTCTAAGTTCAACAGATCTCTTTGCAGGATTATTTTTTTGTTTTAATACTTTTCAAAGAACATGATGTGGCTATACCCACTACACCTGCAAAGACACACCTGTGATGATACAAACACTAAGTGTTCCTCATATTCACAACCCAAGCTCTAACAGAAAACAGACCTGCTGGGTGATCTGCCAAGATCCTGCCATTCTCAAAAAGAACTGATATTATAAAAAGTCTTAAAAAATGACCAAAGATCACCCCTGACCAAAATGCTCATCAAATTTGGTGTAGTGCAGTCTATTCTTTACCATAATTCATTTTCCAATATTAAGAGATGATTAAGGCAAATAATTAAAATAATTACTTATGGTGCTGTAACAGATGCCTACAACATTCCGACAAAGACTCTATTTTTATGTACACCATTGATTCCTTACTTATTATTCATTTAAACATCATTACCAAATGTTTGTGTGTCAGATACTATACTTGACTCTTGAGGAAAGAAAATTAATACAAATATAGTCAAAAAAATAAAATCTTTCCTTGGAAAATTTCTATTCCAATAGTCTAACTGGATTTGTGAACAAATAATCAGTGTACTAAATCCCTACTAAAGTTGCCAAGATCAATGAAAACAAAGTAGAAAGAGAATGAGTTCAGCCTACAGGGACTGGAAATAGGAACACACTTGAAGAAAATGTTAAAAGGGTCAGTAGTATTCCCAGTGAAAGGGAGAGGGGTACTCCAGATTGAAAGAACAATGCCAGGAGGCAAGTGTTTGGTCTACACTGAAGACAGGATTATCCAATGGAATAACTGGTGATAAGACATGTGCCTATTTAAATTTAAGATTAGAAATTCAGTTCTCAGTCATATTTCAAGTACTCAATAACCACATCTGTCAAGTCTCCCATATTGGGCAGTGTAGAGAATTATCTCCATCATTGTACAGTTCTACTGGACAGCACTGTGTAGAAAAGTACAATGTAAGCCTGTGGCAGTTCATGGAGAATCTAAAATATGTGTTCAAACTTTAAGTAGAAATGGTTTATAAACTACTATAGTCTACAGTCCCTTCACAAATAGCCTGGGGGATTCCACCTGGGTATACTTCTATGGCCTGTTTTACTAATCCAGCTTCTGCATTTGAGTAAAGTTGTTTTTTTTTTTTTAACGGAGTGGTACTGTGCTGAGCAGTCAAATTCTCTGCAGAACATTAGGGGTCTTGTCTTTTTTTTTTTTTTTTTTTTTTTTTTTTTTTTTAAGAAAAATATTCTGCAGCCTTAACATAGCTAGCTAGCTAGACTGGACACTTACTGTTATGGGTAACTGGAAACCACCACAGGTTTTTAAGCAGTGAAGTGACGCCATGACACAGATTTGGGTTTTAGAAATATTACCTCTTAGAGTAGCATAAATGAATGTGAGAAAAGACACTTGGTATTCCAAAATCAGTACAGACTAATGCCGTGGTAAGGATTAATTTCAGTGAAGCGTCTAAAGAAACAGACAATGAAGAATTTGCATCAGTAAATTTATTCCAAGTAAGGATCAAACACACACACCAGGCATACTATTTCACACAGAAACCAGCATTGCAATAGAACTATTTAACATTTTGGTCATGAAAATCAGAGACAAAAACTTCTCAAGGTATCTATTTTAAGTAACTGAGTTCTTTAATATTTGTAATCCAAGCATGTTCAATTACAATTTTTAAAATCTATCATATTTGTTCATTATTCATTATGCTTATTGTATATTTATAACATCTTTTCTGAAATTTTCATTTCCCAAAGAAAACTTTTCGTAACTTCAAAACAGCCATATGTACTTCTTAGTAGTACTATTGTAAAACCAAAATTTTTTCAAGTAGCAAGTGCTCAAGCCATCTGACCACAGATATAAGTGAGATCCATTTTTTAAATGGCTCTTACACTTCTTGCTCCTACTGTACTATGCCAACCATTACTTCACTGATATCCCAGAGTTTTCTTGCAACAGACTCATCCATGGCTTTCGGCAACAGTTCTTCCTCTTTACAATCCCCAAAGAACTTTCCTGACACACCTTCTACCTCCGGTGAAGAGGCTAAATAAACCGAAGTTTGGGCACCTTCTACTGGAGTTTTGAAAAAAGCCCATGACACCAGATTGAAAAGTGGCTTGACCAGCAGCGGAATGTGCATGTGCCTCCCCAGGTTAGTCCGCACGATCCCCGGGTGCAGGACATTGACCGTGACCTTCGTGCCTTCGAGGCGGCGGGCGAGTTCCCTGGTGAAGAGGATGTTAGCCAGTTTGCTCTGACTGTAACAAAAGCTCTTATTATAGCTTTGCTCACTGTTCAAGTCTTCAAAGTTGATGTCTCCATATTTATAAAGTTTGGAAGAAACTACCACCACCCTGCTGGGCGCTGAACTTTTGAGCAGTCCCAGGAGAAGATTGGTGAGCAAAAAGTGACCCAGATGGTTCACCCCAAACTGCATCTCAAACCCATCTTCGGTCTTCATGTAAGGGCACTGGAAGACCCCTGCATTATTGATCAAGACGTCCAGTCTCGGCTCTTCCTGTAAATGTCAAAAAGAGGACAGCAGAATTAATGAACACGGGCTTTAAATGTACCCCAAATAAAACATTTTAAATTTCTTATGAACTACTAAAACTCTATAAAATGTCTATGAATTTTCAACAATTGACAAAGAACTAAAAAAGATTTGTATGCCTAATAGGGGCGTGGCCTTCTGCTTTTCACATGTTATCTCATCTACTCTCAACAACTTATAAGCAAACAGAAGCACTGAAGATCTGTGGTTGGTCCAGTGTCATAGGCCTTCCAAGTGACAAACAAAAATCTGAAGATGGAAGCTTCTGACTCCAGTGCCCGGGCTCTTAATTAGTAAGCCAGCTTGCTTTCCTAATTGGGATTCTCAAATTAGAAAGGCTAGAGAGTTGATGTGAGCCGGAGAGTGGAAATACAGCAGAAGGTCAATATTGTTTATTCCCAGAGCTGCCAGTATCCACACCAGGGGCAAGTTAGGATTGCTTTATTTTGTAGTTTTCTAAGGGTAAGTGGTACTGTGGGGATGAAGCAACTTCAGATTGTTTCCTTAAAATTAGGACAAGCAATAGAGTAGGTCAGGAATGTAACTTAAGGCCAGACAACATCATAAATAAGTCAAAGAAATATTTTTTTAAAAAAATGATCCAGGTAATATAAAAATATCAGAAACAAGTCTAAATACTAAGTCTCACAATAACAGCAAAGGAGATTAACAGAGGAGACAGGATCAACAAACACCTTAAACTTCACCATGACTGGAAGGCATGTTCTTCTTCCCTATAGGGTGAAATCTACCTCTTTGAGGCTTCAAGGGGCTCTCCACTTAGATCTGTATCGTCAGAACTTTGCCCTGTGACCGGATCCTGCCGCGTCTTTCCAGATTAAATTTAGACTGTTCTTAAAGGGAAGTCTTTTCATTTCGTAATTCATGGTAAGTTGATTTTCTCCAGCCCTGTCCTGGCTCCTCTCTGTCTCTTTTGATGGGCAGAGAAAAATAAATGTACAACATGTTCCAGGTGTAAAGACAGAGGGATGACCCACCATTGAATTAATTTGAGGTCAAATTTCACATTTCACTGGCCCGTTTGCCAAGTGTAAGTGAAAAGAAAAATGTGTTAAATTTCACAACTGTATCAAAGCCTACCCATCAGAGGATTAACTATTTCTCATTCTGTCTTTCTAAGCACCTTCAGCTTTTCCAATAGTCAGCTTCAAAAAGAAGGCAAAAGTTCACCCGTGGGGGAAAGAAAGGAGTGTTCTCTTTCAGTAATCCTTTGGAAGAGTTTCCTGTATTAATCATTTCGGAGCCATCATTCTTTGCTGGACTTGTGTTATTTTAAGACTTTATCATCTACTATTTTTTTTTAAATTCTAGGAGATAAATGACATAAATACCAAGAATACCAACCTGTGGGAAATTTACATTTCCATTAAAAAAAAAAATTCTGATATGGTCACTGAACTTGAGAGCCGGGAAGAAACTTAATACTTTGAAGCTAGGACAACTTAGTTATCTCTTTATCTCAACTTTTAATTGGTTCTGCTCCAAGTGGCCAAAGAAATAAAACACCAGATTAGGAATAAGAATACCCAGCCACATCTTCATTTCAACGACAAAGAGGGAGATCCACTTTTAATGTTTCCAACATCTCTTCTGAGTATTATTTCTTATGTTTAACCTGTTTTTTCTGATAATGAAGTAGACATAAAAACAAACCAACAAACTCCCCCCTAACCTCTCCAGATCTGCAACAGCTCCCAAACTGTGCATCAGGATGCCCCAGAGTCACAAGGAACTCCCAGGATCCTCTGGAATATTTTAAATGCTCGAGGGCAACAGATACTCCGCTCAACATCTCAAAAATGACTAGTTTCAGGTGGCTCACAGCTTCAACATTACGCTGTGCTCTCTCTTTTGAGGATGTCACATCTCTGCAAAGCTGTTTTTAGCAGCTGCTATAAACAAGTGCATGTACAGTGTTAAAAACCAATGTGGGACAAGAAATGAGGGTGGCAAAGTCCGATCTGATTCCAAAGTCAGAGGAGTGAACAACAGGTGCACATTCCCTGTAGTAATTATGTTTACTAAGAATGGAATGCATATCTCTTTTTCCCTTTCATTATATATACTATTTTTTTCAAATAGTGACTACGTTGTTATGACATCAACACTTACTAGGTTATTTGAACCTAATTATTGAATAGAAATAAAATGGCAGATATTTCTTTTGGCCTCAGGGCATCATGGAATAATAATAATAATTAAAAAAATCAGGACAGTTTGGGAACCTCTGCTCTAGACCTGACTCCATTTCATACAGGCCCATTTCCTATGCAGCCAACTTTCAATCTCTCTCCCCAGCGCCCTCTGCAGGAAGGCCTTCCATGTCAATGTCAATGTCGGACATGCACTTCAGTGGAAAATTTACCATCTTTAAACCAGGACATCCTCCCGGCCCCTGGAGAGCAACAGGAATACAGGAGTTAAAAGCGAGGGCTCTGGAGACAGATCCTGGGCACCCAACTTGGCCTCCCTATGCCTTCAAAGTCTTGTGGTGTAAAATGGGGATAACACTGCCCACCTCACAGGGTTACTGTGGGGATTCCGGGACAGAAAAAAAACCAAGGGCGATTGCATCTCATTAAATAAATGTATATATATTTTTTAGTATCTGAAATGCTTGGAACAAGCTCCTGGCACATCGGGCACCTTCCAATAAATGCCAGGTATTGCATATTTCCTTATTTCTGTCCCTGTTTCGAGCACGAGGCAGGCTGCTGGGATTCCACGCTCCAGTTTATTTGGAAATGAGGCCGGATGGCGGTGAGGGTGGTGCTAACGAGTCCCCCGGGGGCCGAACGCCGACCTCCTACCCCCGCGGGGAGGGTAAGGACACGGTTTTCCAAGCCCTTGGCCAGCAGCCTTTCCGTGCTCTGGGCTCCCTGGAGGGAGACGGCTCGGTCCACATGCACTTTGGACTCGGGAAAGGCCGTGCAGGGCCCCGGCGGGCCTCCTGGACCGCCCGCGCCAGCCGAGGGGACATGCGCGCACACTGGCCTGCTGTCCCCTCGGGCCTATTTCCCGCTCACCTTCCCGGGAAGACAGGACACGGCCCTTCCAACCCTCGCAGCTCCCGACTCCCCAGCCGCCCCAAATCATGGGATCGTTCCTCCTCTTTGCTGCCGTCCTTCCCAAGGTCACACCCCCGGGCTCG